TATATATATATATATATATATATATATATATATATATATATATAAAACATTTTCAAAGTTAACGATGAACAAATGCCAACGCAAGGCGCTGTAAAACCTCTTCCGGAAAAGATAAAAGATAAAATTAGAAGCCATCATTTTTAAGTAAAATTGGGTAGAAAAATCTCTTCCGAAAAAGATAAAATTAAAAACCAGCATTTTTAAGTAAGTAAAATTGGGTCGAAATTGAACCAGTACATGTATAAATTCCCTCCCAAGTTCCCAAACCTAACCCAGATCAAGCTATTGGAAAACTGGAATAAGCCAAACTGGTTTCACCGAGTCCATCAGTCCTGTTTGTCTTTTAACCTGTTCACTTGCACACCAATGACTTTTGCATCACTTGAAATTTTACAGAAAATTGATAGTTTATTATCATCTGACCCGTTTAAAATCTGAATCTGGACAAAAAGCCACATCTCTCTGAGTTCATCAGCACTAGTTACGAAAACAAAAAGGCATGGCATGGCATCACAGATTGAGAAGACAAAATAACACAGGGCCACACAAGTAACAGGATGAAGAATGCAATAATAAAGTGACTTCAATAGCAGACCAACCGCCTCAGTAACATACAGAAAAACCCCATATAAGAAGACAAACCTAGGAAGATGAATGGAGAGAATTAAGTTCAATTTTACGTAGATGAGCAGTCAGTGAGGTGGGATTTTACTTGGTCGGTTGGTCACAGCCACAGCAGTCAGCTTTTCCTGAATATTCACCCAATAGCCAGAAAAAGAAAATAAATGGTCAATTGTCATGTTCACCTTCGCTGAACCGGCTTATAAAGCACAACGGTCACGTACTTCGATCGGAAACGGTGGGTAATTCCCATAGCTACAACAGATCTTGGGCCATCCCGGTTCTCGATGTAGAGGTGATTAAGAATCACGTTTTGGGGAACTGAGATACTACTTGGATCGTCTTGGCTGGGTGGGTAGTTCAGCGAGGTGTGGTGCAGATGGGCAGGGACAAGTGGAGGCTCTCGGGCTTCGTCTTCATTTCCTGCTACAGGGTTGTTGTAGCTTGAATCGGGTGATCTTGGAACTTCGAAACCTACGACGCTGACTCCTTCCTGCAACATGAACTTTCTGTTGAAAATGCAAAAAAAGTTTATCAAAGAATAATTGAGCTAAGAATCGGCACCTACATGATCATTTCCATTTGGGCGATCCATGATTCAGGAAAACTGACTTACAGTGATGGTAGTAAGCCTGTAAGAATACCAAATCATCATGTTGATCAAGATAAAAAATAAGCAAAGAAAATCCTTAGGTGCACTACAGAATTTTTCATGATGAAAACGAAAATAAGCATCCAGTTTTAGCACAAAATTTAAAGAGAAAATATGTCATAAGGTCAAGTTTGAGATGGTTGTGACCAATGAAATAGAATTTGATACCAATCAGAAGCTAAGCATGACCAGATCTAATCAGCATTTTCAGATTTTAAATAAATGGTAAATCTCATTTCTGTGGAAGCCCAAGATCAAAAGACAAATAACACCAGAGCAATGCAAAAACAACTAATAAACCAATGTACACATATATATAATCGGCATCTTAGTGTCATGAGTATATCATGCTTCAAGAACATTATTACCAAAGCTTTCCCCAATCATAACTAATTTGATCATAGAATTTAGCTGAAATGGAGCCTTTATGCTTTAAAAACTGTCTTCACCACCGAAGGGACTGTTCTGAGTTCCAGCCAAGTTCAGATTAACAAAATCAATTGTAGAAAAGATAATTTATTGAAGAAACTGGAAATGATGATTATTTATCAAGGCAGACAAAAGTGTTCACTACAGTATGAGCTCATGGAACCAACAAGGTATTGTTCATCCAACATCCATCTTTTTCCGAGATTGTCAAGTCAACAACCTTGTTCTGGACCCAGACTAGGTCATTTCCCGGTCCAAATTAAATGTATTGCCCGGTCATTTCCAAGTCCAAATTAAATGCCAACATAGAAAAATCGGCTGGGTCTAAATTTTGGCATACATAGAATTAAAAAAATTTAAATAAAAGACAGAGAATAATAACCTAGTAATGAATAACTAAATTACTTTTGATGACAGAGGGAGAACCACTGAAATGCATATATGCAAACATCCCATATAATAGAATTGTCACCAAAGGTCTTGGTTTCTTTGTTATCAATGCAACAAAAAAATTACTGTAACAACCCTCTGATATGGACAATGCACATATAAGACTATAAAATTATTGGCAAGCTTTATTAGACAAAGTTTAGGTAATGCAAGCAAATGAATTTCTCATCATTTAATTTGTATAACAAGGTGCGTGTTAGTGTCACAATAAGGTTGCTTTTGAAATATAGGTGACCAAGGTTTCAGATGCAGAAACAGCCTCTCTACTTACAAGGATAAGGTGGTGTGTGCATTGACTCTCCTTAGACATAGTATCGGTGGAAACCTTATGCGCTAAAGGACCTTTTTATTTTTAATTAAAATATCAAACGAGAAGGTAAATTTTTTAGAAGGCCGGATATAATTCAACTTAGACCGGATATAAAGATCACATATGAAGGCAATTTTACCATTGGATTATCGTGTTTGATCAAGTATAGGTTGCATTAGAAATCTGGAACAATTTGGTCCAAGAGACATCACTTGTAACCAGTGGATTTACTCCAGCATCTCATCAATAACCACAACTCAGAAGTCTACCTTGAATAACAGAGGCTTGAGCTCCACAATCAAGCATCACATTGCTGACAGAAAACTCAGATTAAGACAATAATGGTTCAATAATTTCCACATTCTGAATCCATAGTAAAGCTAGTAATTTATAGAGACATAACATAAGAACTACATTTCATGTATGCCTGGAACCATTTCTCTGTGAAAAAGAGAGAAACAACACCTCTAATGCAGCACCTGAACTATTTCCTCATCAGAAGATGCTAACGGCTTTGAAATAGATCCTATCCTCTTTGTACATCAATCAGTTCAAAAATAATTATTTTATCCACTTCAATCATCCTCACAGATTCATAGCATTCTATTAATAGCCTTAGAAAAAGGCATTGCACCATATGTGGCACAATATGAAAGGAGAACTTTCTATATAGCCATTCAAAAATCAATTCTAAAGACAAGTAATAAGTAACATTAAAATATTAAATAATAAAAATGAGAGCTAATAACTAGATATGACAGCACAAGAATGAAGGCATGGTGCACAAAAACCTATGCAGGCCCTAGGGATTAATCTGGTTTTGCGGAGATCTCTCTGTGATCCGTGACTGCTGTACTGCAGCCATAAAACTACACAAGCCATATGCCAATATCATGGACTCTTTGGAAGCCTTGACTCACATATTTTACAAGTTATTATACATTGCTTAGTACTTGTGTATGATCAGGCAAAATGCTATTTATTCACATTATCAAATGTCTAAGAGAACAATTTCTGCTCATACTTTATTTACAGTTAACAGATTACAGTTAACATTTCTCCTCTTATTGTGTATGCATGTCCAATAAATCCATCCTCCTTCACGCTAACAATAATAATCATCACTGGTGGTCACAATAAGGCATCATCATGATACAGGTGTGTGCCTCATGCCAGGCCCATTTACAAACATTGCATGTGCATGGGCATTTGACTGGTATGACATGTCACAAGAACACAACATGCAACATGTACCTTGGGCAAGGGTATAAGAGATGAGGAATTGAAAACAGAAGATTTTAGGTCCTATATCTTCAGTTGAAAGACTTCTGTTCACAATACTATTCCAAAAGCTACGGCTAATGATTCCCTCTTGCTCTACCTACACCAAATCTTAATCATTCTTTATTTGCATAAATGTGGCTTTCCTAACACTGGACTATTGTTGTCAATGTAAATCAGGGTTGATATGCAAGCCATCATGAGTATTGGTCAGTTCACATTGTAGATTAACTCGATATGTGTGCTAGATCTATAACTAATTATGAAATCCGATAACACTACAAAAGCAAAATAATGATGGCTTAAGCTCAAAAAAAGAACATTATTGCAAAGGATATAGGAAAAGAGAACTCTAAGCCAACAATTACAGGTTGAAGTCACAAGACTAGTTGAAACCAAAGAAGCATGCATTTTCAAGACAATAATAACTGTAAAAGTTCTCAATGTCATGTTAAGAACAACAGTGAATCATAAAAATTTTAATTATGGTCATAATAAAATAAACAAGTATAGATCAAAGAACTTTAATGGGACCCGGATAAAGAGAAATTGCAACTCGGTCCTATTATATATCAATAGGCAAAATGATCAAGATAGAGGATCCAGTTTGTCACTTCCTAGGCACTGCCTACTCCAACAATTATAAGAATTTTCATTACAGCAAATACAGTGACCATTAAGTAACCTATCGAGAAGCATCTCACAAGTCTAAAAGAACCAAAAGAAATATGGGATAGCTATGAAGATTCACAACCACAAAACATAATCTGAGGAAAAGTACAGGAAGCAAATATGACCAAGTTGAAATTTGAATATCATGAGGGATGTCAGGTTGTCATAGTTTGAAATAAATAAAACTGTAAACTAAGAAAAAAATTGCCAAGAAATAAACCTATTCAATCAGTTACATAATCAAAATGATAATTATAGAAACATCTATGGCAAAATAAACTCAGATATCTTCTTGTAAGCTCTGTTGCAAACACCCAAAATAAACTGTAATTAAGGTATTTAGATCAATTATATCCACGGTTTGAAACACATGGTTATCGATCATTATGTCAGACAAACTAAAAGAAGTTTCAAAGCACAGACACGGGATGCATAGGTGAAGTGAGAAAACAGTGATAGCTATTTCTAACATGATTATTTGTTGAATATCGACCTTCACGTCATAAATTAAATTAACTACTACTTAGAACGATGTAATTCACAGCGATCACAAAATGCATCATATCTAAGAATAGTTAATAACCAAATCATGCCCAAAATTGCACGAATACACCGAACAAAACGATGCCAACTGAAAAATCTGGAACGAACGATCGCCAATCGAAGAATTAGGCATGCAACATTAGAGATAGAGATATCGATCACTTGTGAAAGCAAACACTGGTACAACCGCCATACAATCAACCACAACTGAACAATCTAAACGGATCCCACCGCCCACCATTTTCCATCGAAATCTGCCCTCGATCTGGAAGGACGCAGGTGAAAGGCCGAAGGGAGAAGTGATTCGAAAGGGAGGAGGGTCGGAGGTACCAAGAAACCGGGGCCGATCGGAAACAGTAAAAGAAGGAAAAACTGGGAGAGGAAGAAGATATACCGTCGCTGTGTCGGCCGGCCGTGGGCGAGGGCGTCGAATCTTCTGCCTCAGGGTATCCGGTGGCCGTGGATGGCTGTGGAAGATACCCGGTTGTGACCTTGCTTCTCCCTTCTCCTTCGGATTAGGGCACGGGGGAGAGGAGGATATAAAACCAACAAACAGAATCGGTGATCCGCGAGTATCACAAAGAAAACGGAACGCCGTTTCGGGGTTATAACCCTGACAGAGTTGAGATAACGGATCCCGTCCTCGTATGCGTGACCTGAACCGGGATATACTATTCTTCTCCTTGGGATAACGTATCGGTCCATTTCTCCACGTATAAAGCGCTGCTAATTCCCTAATCATTCGAACTCGAATTGAACCCGGTTCAGGTTCGTCTCGGCCTATCCGAGTGAGTCCATCTCAAACTCGGTTGCCGCAGGACGGTGAAGCGGTGTGACTTGCTTCAGATGGAAGGCTCTCCATTCTGCTTCTCTGTCCCACCGGAGTTGCATCGGAGTTTGATCTTGCTCATGCTCATGCTCATGTTTAGTTGCTGCTGTTGCTCCTGCGCTCAGAAACAAGACCAGGGAAAGGTCATCCTTATTGTTTCTTCTCACTTCTTTCCGTATTCCAGGATGTGATTTGAAGAGTCTATGTTTGCCAGTGCAGCTTAGGATGTTGCAAATGAGACTCCTGATGATGCTTGAATCTATAGCTGCTGTCACTACCAATCCATCTTTCCCCTCTATGTTTCTTCCCAGTCATCTGTTCTTGATTAGTTCTCAAACATTTTGCTTCTTTGTCACTATTAATTACTTAGAAGATCCATATCACCGCACAAGATCTGTTCCTCTGCTGAAAGACAGCAACCAGAGGCAATAGGTAGTAACGTAGGCAAATGATGAGCTTAAAAGCCATTCATGACTTCCTCATTATGTACAGTAGATTATAGACATGTGATGGATCGGAGCAGATGACAGACAAAATACAGTAAAGGAGGTAAATTTGATGACTGGGTATGGAAGTTGAAGATGGGTAGGATCAGACGAGCAAGTCTCGGTACGCCTTTAGACCTTGAGTTGTAAGGCACCACTCTTTCAGCTTGTTCAGAGCTCGGCTCTCGAGCTGTCGTATCCTTTCATTCGACAGGCCATATATATCGCCAATCTCGCTTAGAGTCTTCTTCTTGTTCTCATGCATTCCAAACCGGTACTGAATTATCTTCCTCTCCTTCGGCTTCAAGGTCTTTAGAATGTCGCGAACATGCTGTCTCATCAGCTGCTTCGCGACGATAAGATCAGGAATCTCAACCCCAGGGTCTGCTGTGATCTCCTGATAGTATCAATATTCATGGAAAACTATACACCATAAGATTTAATTAAAAAACATATTAGTTTGACGTTCATCTCATAAAAAAACCAAAGCCATGTCTCTGAATGCGTGCAAGCAAGAAAAAAGTTCACCGACAGCTTTTTACGTGTAATGGTTTTAACACCAAATGAGAGAAGAAAACCATTATTCATTGCTTTGAAATTGAGAGCAGTAGATGGATAATAGTTGCTTTTCTGGAATTATCAATCCATGAGCTATGTTAAACCAACTCCATCAAACTGATTTAGAATAGGAATTGCTTAATTAGAGGATAGTGAGGAATGGGATCTGCTCCTTATAGATAAGGAGATAGGGGGCTATCTATTGGATTGAATCGTATGAAATGATATGGAAAAACACATGCATTGGAAGGTTAACTTCTTATTAGAATGACTATCAACATGTTGTAAAGCCAACACCGAGTAGCTGCATTTAACATCACTGCTAAGTATGTGAATAGATGTTAAAAATGATAAAGATATATTTCTCTTGCTTGCAATTAGTTAACACAGACCTTACTGAATGGTTGATGAACTTACTTGAAAAGTGACATTCTGCCAAGCATGTTCCTGAATTGATACTGGATCTCTAAAGTATAGGAGCAGTTTTTCCAATTTCTTAACTGTGATGCCAACCCGCTTTGCGATCTCTTCATTTGTTGGGAGCCGGCCTTCTTGAATGCACAGTCTCCTCGCATACTTTATCTCCTTTAGAAATGCATAAATGTTATCCTGCATGTGTAGCATATGAAACATAAACAGATCACAACATTGACAAGGTATCAAATTCTAATGGCAAACTAATTGACAGAATTAGTTTAGTTCCAATTGAAAATTCTGGATTCGTTAGTCATTATAGATAAGACTAACTCAAAGTGACATAGATGGAAAATTTTGATTCATACGCTGTGACATTGACCAATCCTATGATTCGGAATCACCAGATTCATTGAACTCAAAGCAATGAGCTTTGTAACAGATGTGTGGTTCATTTTTAGCAATGGCGACTGGAGAAACTTGTTTTATTGGGTGGATTAATTCCACTGGTGAACTAATCCAAATAATTGACTCATATTAATGGTTCATCCTATGATGGAGCTGAGTCTTCTGAAATAGAATCTTCCTTTTCATTAAAAAAGAAAAGCTCGGACAGATGTGAAGCTAAAAGGTAAAATCTCTCAAGCGTTTGCAACTTCAGCAAAAAGCTGAGTTTCCTCAAGCAAGAAGAAAGCTGATTAAGCAAACCAAATATCATACCGGAAGACGAATGATTCGTGAATTCTGAAATATGGCCTTCCTAATTGATTGTCTTATCCACCAATAAGAATAAGTCGGAAACCTGCAGCCAGCATTGGGCTTGAACTTCTCTAAACTCTTCATCAGCCCCCTGCTTCCCTCCTACAATAACAATAATCGTTGATAGTTGAAGGAAACATCCCAGCGTGCAAATATAGAAACAATTTCAAAATGATTCTGCAGTTCCAAGCAATGAAGTTCCCTAAGAACACATAATTTAAGATCATCTTCTGCAGAAGTATCACAAAATTTTCAGTATCCCTTTGTAACAAAGTTAGAATTTTTTTTCTCCCCTCCAATCACAATGGTGTCTCTCCCCACCACTTCTGCAAGCTTAACATCAAATCTCCTTTTCCTCCACTATTTAGTATTTTGTTTGTAGTTTCATGAAGCAAATTTTCTTGTGTTTGACTGTTTTTCCTGTAGAATATCCATGAAATAAGAAACAAGAATTAATTTCCAAATATTTAAAATTGCAATTGTTTGGCACAGAGAAGTAACTCACAGACGATCAAAATTTATAAG